GGAGCTGCATGGCTGTCAGGGCTCAGTGGAAGCACCAGGATCAGCGCCAGGCTCCAGCTGGAGCTCGGCACTTATCCTGGTGCTTCTGCTGAGCCCAGAAGAAGCGCCGATCAGCTGGAATGTTGCAGCATCTCCAGGGTCTTGTGATTTACACTCAGATGCTTGGCAACTGATTCATATTTATGATGGTCACAGCTTCCCATGGTCATGTGAAGTGACCAAAACATCACCCAGTAGAGGGGGGGGGGAGAATAAAAACCAAACACCCCCACCCCACCCCCACTGCCAATCCTCAACAGAAATGCTCACAACAATGAAAACCTTGGATAGGAGGAAGAGCGCCGCCGGGTGGGCAGGCAGGTATCTTGCTCAGCTGTGGCTTGGGGGACACTTTTTTCAGTGCCATTGTAACTTTGAACAGTCACTAAGTGAACTGTTGTAAGTCGAGGACTACCTGTACTTCATCATTTTTTTTTCCTTTTTTTGGTCATCAAGTTTTTGACACCTTGCTAGGCAACTGGTGGTACTCGGATATTGCCATATCCTAAAAGTGGTACAATGGGTGAAATGGTTGAAAAGCCCTGGCATAGTATGCTAGAGTTTGCAGAGGGCTTAACCTTGAAAGGGTGTAAGGCATACTTAGACTGTCCAGTATGTAAATCATTGAAATCTAAGGTATTCCCAGTAAGCAAGAAGAGCACAAGGCAGACAACAAGGGTTCTAGAACTGGTACATGCAGATTTAGTAGGACCAATGCAAGCCAGCTTGGGAGGAGCAAGGTATGCGTTGGGCATTGTAGATGACCATAGCAGATTTGAGTTCTGCTATTTGCTTAAAAGCAAAACAGAAGTACTGCAGAAGTTCAAGCAATGGGTGAGCTTCGCAGAAAGAAGATATAGGCAACAAGTATGCCAGTTGCAAACTGACGGGTTCAGAATTCATGTCAGCAAGTTTTCAACAGTGGTTGGGGCAGCTAGGAATAAGGCATACACGCACAAATCTGTACACAGCAGCTGAGAATGGCATGGCTGAAAGACAAAATGGAGTCTTGCAGACCATGAAAGACTCAATGTTGGAGGATTCTGAGCAGGTCATGTTGAGGTGAAGCCATGTTGACTGCCAATTATTTAGTCAATAGGTTGTGGAGTTCCTCTATCAGTGATACTCCACATGCTGTGCTATATGGGACAAAGCCATCTCTGGCACATTTAAAGGTGTTTGGAAGCAATGCATGGGTGCATATTCCAAAGGCAATCAGGAGAAAAGGCAACAAAAGGCTAGAAAGCTCAGATTCTTGGGCTATGAGCCTGGCTCAAAGAGCTACCGCTTTAGTGATGGGAGCAGAAGTATAGTAATTTCCAGATCTGCTAGCTTTGCAGAGAAGAATTGGGGCAGAATTGATGCCAATTCTGGAAATGATCCACTTAGTGATGACTCACTTAGTGATGGTGACCCACTTAATGACAGTGTCAGCATTCAGGGAGGAGAAGCTGATAATAAGCAAGAAAAGGAGTCAGAAGGAGATGGTGACTCTAATGTGAAGCAGGAAAGGGTTGAGAGTCAAAAGCAGTCAATGCCATGCAGGTCAGAGGATGGAACAAGGGGATTCCACTGACAGTTATCCTGCTGGGAAAGTAAAGGTGTATAATGTGTGGTATGAGCCAAGAAACTATCAGGAAGTATTGGCACTACCCAAAGTGGAGCAAGTGAAGTGGAAAGAGGCCATGGATAAAAAAATGAAATCTATGGATGAACATAAAGTGTTCACCTCTATGACTTTGCCACAAGGTTACAAAGCTGTAGTATGTAAATGGGTATACAAAAAGAAAGTGTTACCCAGCAATGAAGTCCAATTTAAGGCAAGATTAGTAGCACAGGGATTTTTGCAGAAGAAAAACGTGCACTATGATGAAGTATTTGCACCAATGGTAAAAAGTGAAACTATAAGGTTGGCACTAGCGTTGGCAAGGGCATGTGGTCATAAAATTTGGCACTTTGATATAACCCCAGCATTCCTCAATGCAGAGTTTGAGGAAGAAATTTACATGGTTCAAGTAACAGGGTATGAAACTAAAAAGCCTGGCACTATGTATAGACTGAACAAGGCCATTTATGGGCTGAAGCAATCAGCCAGAAACTGGAACATCTATTTAGATGTGGCATTGAAGAGTCTTGGGTTCAAGAATTGTAAGGCTGATGATTGCATATATAATACAAGGTTCCATGGTTGGGATTGCCAATTATTAGCATTTGTGGATGATCTTTGCTTCATTGCAAAGCATCTGGCACAGGTGAAGGAATTTGCTAATCAATTGGAGAAAAAGTTTGATTTGAAAAGACTGGGTGAAATACAAATCTTGGTGTAAAGATACAAAAAACTGAGAAAGGTGGCTATGTTCTCAGTCAAAGAAGGAAAATTGAACAATTGTTGGAGAGATACAACATGAAGGATTGTAATTCTGCTCCAATACCTATGAGCAAAGATTTTCACACAACTTTGGGTGAGGACAAAAATGAAGCCTGTGATCAGGAGATATATCAGTCAGCAATAGGAAGCCTGTTATATCTGTCACAATGGTCCAGACCAGACATAGCTTGTGGAGTAAGCATCTTAAGTCGCTTTATTGCCACACCAACGCAGTTGCATTGGATCGTATGAAGAGAATTCTCAGCTTTTTGTAGGGAACTGTGAATTTGGGTCTTCAAATACAGGTCTCTGAAGAATTAAAGTTAAAATGTTACGTTGACAGTGATTATGCCAATGATGTGTAAACCAGGAAGTCCAATTCTAGGTTTGTAGTTTTGTTTGGAGGGACTTTAATTGGATAGAAGTCCAGAAAACAAACAAATGGAGCTATTTCTACAGCAGAGGCAGAATTTATTGCTCTGTCTGAACTTTGTTCAGAGGTAACCTGGTATGGACAGTTGTTAAAGGATTTAAACATAAAAATTAAAGAATCTGTAACAGTATTTGAAGATAATGCTGCTTGCATAAAAATGGCAACAGGTGACTGAGTGAAAAGTAGAAGCAAGCATGTGGACATTAAGTATTATAATGTCAGAGAAGCCATCAAAAGTAAACTAATTCACTTGCTTCATTGTTCTTCAGATGACAATCTGGCAGATGTAATGACCAAACCATGGGTGGAGTACACTATGGGAAGAGTATTAAATTATTTGGTTTTATGTCTATTCCAGTCATAAAGGGAGGAGTGTCACTGTGTAAGAAATTTTATGAACCGGAATAGCCATAGCAATAAACCAGCCAATGAGAACTGTTTTTGATTAAGACACAGTATTGGCTGTGTAAGACATGTGATCCAGCCTAAGTCTGGGTGTGTCTTAATCTTCTCTGTTTTGTTGTTTGTTTGTTTTTTCTGATCTCCAAGTTAAACGTTGTTGGTGTTCCCCAGAGCTGAATGGAACTGTATGTATCATGTTTATATATATTTTATAGATAAAGTTTTTCTAAACTATGCCTCCTGCTCATTTTGAGTGTGTGCTTATTTTTTGGGCTTATTTTTGCACTGGATATCTGTAAACCTCTGACAGGTTCATCAGCCAGCTACAGCTCCATCTTATACAGTAGTGTTGTTGTCTATCCCAACTTTTTCTAGCTTATTAAGCAGCAGGTTATGGTCTACTTTATCAAATGCCTTACTGAAGTCTAAGTCTAATATTTTTATTTGCTTGAAACTAACCACACTACACTGATGATATTGTACTTGTGTGACTCTAGGTCTTGCTTTAATCTGCAAATGGGTGGAAAATATTTCTTCAGCTTCTTAAATTTATAGCCCTCCTTTCCTCCAGCATCTCAAGGCAACATATATCGCACAATATGTTTTCCAATATGTTCCTGCAACAACCAAGCTGTCAGGAGAGAATTTTACTGTCTCCCAGGAATATGAGAAAAAAAGAGGAATGAAAAAGTGCACCTTATATGTATGTCTACCCATGCTGAGTGGGTGCTTATACATTAATTTCCTCATTCTCCCCTCCCAGAATCACCCAGTTGACCTCATCCAGTTTTGATGGGATTTTGTCCACTTCATAATTAGCACTGGTTTGGGGATTTGGGGGTCACATTCTATTGTCATATGGAATGGGACAAATCGCTGCAGCCAACTCCCCGCAGCCAACTCCCCATGGTCAATTCATTGTGAGACAATTCAACAATTCAATTAAATTATTTAAAATAGTTAAAAACATATTTTAATTTTTGTCATTCACATTTAATTTTGTCTCTCCTTTGGCATAATTAATGATTCTGTTCCACTATTTCTTCAGTATTAGTGTAACTGTTGTCCCATAGCAAGTTGCCCCATAGCAAGTTGGCCACGGCAAGTTGGTTGTGGTGAGTTGGCCATGGCAAGTTGGTTCTGGCGAGTTGTCATAGACCCATTTTCATATGCTCTGGACAAGGAACTGAGTTTTCCAACTGGAAAACTGGGAGCAGTCATATTTATTCTGTACTTCAATGCTTCAGTTCAGAATATGAAGTGTATCTTCATGTAAATAAAGATTAGTCCTTTGTCAAAGGACCAAAATAATAAATTTTGTTCTTACTGAGGTAAACAATAGGAACACAAACTACTATTTAACTGGAGCACAATATATCTTCCATAGGTTTCTTCTATTTTCAGATTCTTTCCCTCATAACTCACCTAGTATAAGAGTTAGAAAATATTTCAGAACATATTTATCCAAAGATAGAAAAATAGAGTTGGAAGGGACCTTAGAGGTCATCTAGTCCAACCCCCTGCTCGAGCAGACCTTATACCATTTCAAACAAATGACTGTCCAGTCTCTTCTTTAAATGACTCCAGAGATGAAGTACCTACAACTTCTGATTTTCTATTCTATGTTAATATATAATAAATAGAATATTAATATTCTATTTCTTTAAGCTTCACTCTTCCATTAAAGAGTTACAATATTGATATGAAAAGAGAAGACACAACATGGTTAAAGCAGACATAGTCAATAGTGGCACTTACCAAAAACAGTTCTGGCAGGAACAGACTCTTTATTAATCCAAAATGACACCTGGGAAAGGATCACAGTCATAATGCATGGAATATATGTCTGTATCATAAAGTACCCCATTTTCCTTCGGAGATGGAAATGTACTGTCATGACCACGTATTCACCTAACAAAAAGCAGAAAAAAAATACACTTCACCCCATATATTTCAAACAACAAAAAATCAAAACACTGAATCTAATAAAAAAGTCAGAAAAGAAAATCTCTAGTTATTTCATCTCATCCTAAAATCATAAGAAGCTAAAGTAAAAAGGGTCACATTTTATATTGAAGCCTTTCTGGAAGCCTCAGCTACATCACTTTTATCTCTGTGAAGGAAATGAGGGATATAGAATAACTCAGAATGACAAGGTAAGACCAAGAAATAGTAACAGATTTTAAAACAAAGAACAAATATGAATCAATCAGTACCATTTGATTTTCCTCAGGTTGGCCTTCCAAAAGATGATGCCCTCTAAATGTTTTGAAATAAAATTCTCAGGTAGGTCCATCTAATTACAATGGGCAATAGAGAGAAGGAGGGTCTAGCTGTTTAAGGATTCAGAAAGGTTGTTTAGGGCTTTAAAAGGCTGCTTGGGGGCTTGTAATTCTTTAGAAAGTGTGTCAGATCTACCCCAATCTGATCCCTTAGGAAAGAAAGGCCCTCGACTCCATTGTGTTGAAGTGAAAGGGCAGCCATGAAGTGGTCAAAGTTTCTCAGTTCCAGGGCATTGTCATTGTGGAGGGTGACCATCCATTCAACTGCAGTCCCTTCCAACACCATGGTCATGCATCGCACTTTGGCTCCTTCTGTGGCTATTTCTGGACCATACTCTTGCATGTAAGTCCAGACATGTGCCAGAAAGAACTTCCAACTGCTTGGGATCTCCACTGAACTTTACACCCAGGGTTGGTGTCCTGTGTCCTCTCTGCCACACTGGCACTGCTCCTACAGCTAGTGCAGGCTGGACTGCAAGGCCAGGGGCTGGGGCAGGGGCAGGGGCAGCTGCCTCTGCCATGAGGTCCGCTGCTGCTGCCATTGCAGTGGAAGAGGTGGTTGCCCCAATGCTCGCCATGGCTGAAGGCAGCTGGTCAGCAGTTTGTGCCACCCAGGCCAGGGCTTCTTGTGCTTTGAGGTTGCTAAAAGCCCACCTCAGGAACTTTATGGCTTGCTCCAGCCTCCAGTCCTCCTGATCCAGCTCATGTATACTTGGTTCTTCCTCCAGCTTCTCCAGTTCCACTCGTGTCTCCTGCCAATGGCTCCCATGGCTCCCATGGGGGAATGTCACTCCCATGGGCTTCTCTTCCCACTCTTTCTTCTTCCCAACCATGAGGAGCCATCGGGGTCTTGGTGGGTCATCTTCTTCCAATCACTTGGATAGATTCACCCCTCCAGGAGGTGTTTTGAGGATGCTTCCCCCCAGTCTTTGATATCTTCCTGATTGCTCCCTTGAGCTGACATCATTTGCACAGTCCTCATGGTAGAGGTGATTTCATCTCCAGGTTGACCACAATTGCAGAGCTAACCTAATGTCACACCTGCCTTAATCTGATCCTGTAAGAAAGAAGGCCCTTGATTCTATTGGGTTGTAGTGAAAGGTTCTTTTACTAAAAAAAATGTTGGCTACAGTAAAGTCAGACTAGCTCTGGTTTTCCCATGCTCAAAGATAAAGAAAGGTTCCCCTCATCCCAGCCTTCCCCCATCACCAGTCCTTTAGCCAATCGGAACTCACTGAAATGTTTTGAGAATGTTGAGATGTTTTGAGGTAATTCACATTCATTCTCAGGTTACCTGGCCTTGGGTGCTGGTACAAACTGGTTCTGAGCTTCTGTGGTCTTTGTCACCTGTCATTCCTCCCTCCCTATTTCCCATCACGTATACACACAGCTTTATTGCACATCTATCCTCTGCCTCCCCTTCTAGCCCTTGTGTCATGTGTCTGACTAATGAAACACTTCAAAGAATTTTCAGGCAAGGTTTAACCTAAAAAAACCTTTATTAGTGTAGAGACGTGTCAGCACGGCATAATGGATGCCAAGATCTGAATTTCCCTTCCCTTTCACATAACATTCCAGGCATTTTCCCTCCCCTATTTTGGGGTCATGATTCACATCTTCCAATTAACTTGGAGGGCAAAGATTCACTTCCGTTCATTTTCCTGGGCTTTCCTTACTAGTCTCCTCCCTTTTCTCTGTCATCTGAATTAACTCTAAAAATACCAGACAGTTCTGCAAATTTTGTCAAAGCAAGAATATTCAATATTAGCAGTGTTAACATCCGCCCCCCCCCTTACAAAAAGGACAGATCCTGTAAACAAAAGCATATGTTAATGACTAGTTTTCAGTTTCTTGGGGTATTTCTTATGAAACCTTTTGATGAGCCTGTCAGCTTTCCCCTCACTGGATTTCACCCAGGTGGCTTCAGACAACGGGTATCCCTTCCATTGTACTAGGTACTGCAATTTCCCTTTAAAAATTCTAGAGTCAAGAATACGTTTCACTTCATAGTGGGTCTGTCCCGCAACTATGAGGGGCCCAGGTGCCTTCTTCGGGGGAAGTCTTAAAGTGGAGCCCCGATAAGGTTTCAACAAGCTGCAGTGGAAGACTGGGTGAATTCTCCCTAAAAGTCTAAAGAGTTTTAGTTCTATGGTGACCAGATTGATGATCCTTACTATGGGGAAAGACCCCAAGAATTTTGGTCCCAATTTCTTGCTGGGCAATTTGAGGCATAAATAGTTAGTTGACAAATAAACCTTTTCCCCAACTTGGAATGTTCTTTGGGGAGCCCTCTTTCTATCAGCCTGCTTTTTATAGGTTTCAAAAGTGTTTTTAAGGCAGTTTTTGTTTTCTCCAAACTTCTTCCCACCCTCTCACCATTGGTCAAGTGTCTGGGAAGCGGAGGGCACCTGAGGGTATTCAGGTATAGGGCTGAATATGGCAGATGGGAGTCCTTTGCAGGCGATGAAATGAGCCTGCTTCGAGAACAGGTCTATTACAGTCCAGATGACAGTATTTCCTCTACTTTCAGGTAGGTCTACTATAAAGTCCATAGCTATTTCTTCCCAGGGTTGAGAAGGGTCTGCCACCGGCTGCAGCAACCCGGGGTTTTTCCCTGGGATTCTTTTCATTGTTGCACATACAGTACAACTTTTTACATAGTTTTCCATATCCTATTTCAGCCCCGGCCACCAAAATTGCCGGCGGGTGAGGTGTAGGGTTTTCAAATATCCAAAGTGTCCAGCTTGTTTTACATCATGGCTGTGTTTGAGAGCATTAAGACGGAGGGCTTCTGGCAAATATAGTTTCCTCCCTTTGTAAGCCAAGCCATCCCTGCACGTTAGGGAGGTTTTATTATCTTTGAACCATTGATTGGTGAGGAGCTCTCATTTTATTTTACCCCAGGGTCATCAGGATTGGGGACCTTTTGAGGTGTAAGTTGAGCAGTAGTTTGTGGATTGGGGATAATTGCCTTGTTAACCTCCTCCCGTTCACTTTTGTATTGGGGTAGCTGGGATAGTGCATCAGTTAGGACATTTTTTCCTCCTGGTATGTACTTTAGAGTGAAGTTGATGCAGTTAAAGTACTGTGCCCACCGCACTTGCTTTGGGGACAATTTTCGGGGAGTTTTCAGTGCTTCTAGATTTTTGTGATCTGTCCATACTTCAAATGGCACCTTGCTCCCTTCTAGATAGTGTCGCCAGTTTAATAGCGCCCATCTAATCCCTAAGGCCTCTTTCTCCCAGATTGCCCATCTCTGCTCGCTTTCAGTAAATTTCTTAGAGGTGTAGGCGCAAGGTTGCAGGACCCCACTTTTGTTCTTTTGTAGTAAGACAGCTCCAACTGCCACATTGCTGGCATCGGCTTGAATCACAAAGGGTTCCCCTGGGCAGGGGTGCTTTAGAACCAGTTCAGTGGCAAATAGTCTCTTTAAATTCTCAAAAGCTGTTTGACAGCCCATCATCCATGCTAGTGGTTGGCCCGGTCATGGCTCCCAGCATCCTTTGCCTGTTTTGAGTAGATCTATAAGGGGTAGGGCAATTTTGGCAAAAGAGGGGATGAATTGACGATAAAAGTTGGCAAAACCCAGAAAGCTCTGGAGCTGTTTGCGAGTCTTTGGGGGCTGCCATTCGATTATAGCTTTCACCTTGGCTAGATCCATTTCAATGCCCTCATTGGAGATTCTGTAGCCAAGATAATCTAATCGAATCTGGTAAAATTTACATTTTGACAATTTGGCATAAAGCTTGGCATTCAATAGTTTCTTTCTTTTTTTTTCAAAGATAATTTTTATTAAATTTTTGAAATTTTACAAAAACAAAACAATTTCCCCCCCAACCTCCCCAACCCTCCCATTCCCTCCCCTGACCTTCCCAGAGCTGAATATAGGCTTAATTAAGATTTCATCAAAAAATCTTAAAAAAAGATATAAACCATAAATAAATCTAACATTAGTTAGAAATCTAAATACATTAATTAGAAAAATTATAAAATAATTAACAATAGTATATATATAAAAAAAACATAAATACAAAAAATAAATGTTTAGAAAGAAAAAGGATGAAAAAAGGAAAAAAGAACAAAAAAAGAACAAGATATTCAATTTTAAATATAAATTGTTAAAAAACTAAATAATATTTTTTTATATCCAACTTATGTTGTATAAAATCTATCCATTTTTCTATACCGCAACATACTTCTCTTGCGATTGATCCTTCAAGAAAGCCGAAATCTTTGCCATTTCCGCCAAATAAGAAACTTTAAGAAACCACTCTTGCAAGGTAGGCAAAGATTCCTTCTTCCAACATTGCCCTACTAACAACTTTGCGGCTGTAATTAAATTTAACATCAATGTAATCTCCTTATTGTCACAATCAGTAACGATACCTAACAAAAACAATTGTGGGGTAAATTTTACCCTCCTTCTAAAAATTCTTTGAATATTCCACCATATCTTAATCCAAAAGGCTTTTATATTTTTACACGACCACCAGATATGATAATAAGTAGCATCCAAGCATCCGCATCTCCAACATTTAGGCTGTAAGTCAGGATACATACGAGACATTTTTTGTGGATCAAGGTGCCATCTGTAAAACATTTTATAAAAATTCTCCCTTAAATTCTGGG